TTTCTTCTTGACGGTTTTTCTTCATGATACTTGTTGCAAAATTGAGTTTACATCGAGAAAATCTTTTCAAAAAATTCAACTGGACAAAATACTTATAGAGTAATTTAAGAACTTTGTGAATCTTACCTGTGATGCAGTTTCCAGATCACCTTGCCGAAGCAGCGCAACTGCTTTACTCATCTCAATTTCCATGGCTAACGGAGAGTATAGGGACTGCCTTATCGCTTCCACGCACCACTCATAGCCCTCCGAAAACCTGATTTGTACAAATAGATGCCAATAAAACTGAGTCCATGAAAAAGATAAGTCTCAATAACTAGTGAATTTTTCAGCTACTGCAAAGCTCTTGTAACAAAATAAAATGTGCTGAGCTGTCGCTTTTTTCAACGCACTTTTTGCAAAGATAAATTTAAAAAAAATTTATTAAACTTTATGCTAATACCAATTAGATTTTGATTTTTCATCTATATTTTATGCCGGAAAACTGAAATATTTTGCCAAATGAAATGTGCTTGGGATCTCTTCATAACCATAATGTTCTGTTAGGAAAATCACTGGTTGAAAGCCGATGCGTTTTATGTAACAGTAAGCCTAGGAAGAGAAAGACCGAACGGAATTCATGCAAAGGTACTATGCAGAAGTGACAAGAGCAGGCTAGAAGCAGGCAGACTAGAAGCTTTTCTCGGACCGCGTTTCTATGACATCGAGAGATTTATAGAGGAAAAGTTAGAAGGATCTTAGTATAGCTGCTTTCTGGACGAGGTCAGCTGTAGGCTGTTCCAAAGTGACAACTTACGTTGGAGCGATAGCAGAAGAAATAATTCTGGCTGCAACAAAAATAGTTTTCTCGGCGGTATGCCGATGCGATCGTTCCCATTGCTTCAAGGTGTCGTTAGCGATCAGCTGCGAAAGAAGGAAATCCTGCTGATCCTGCAAAAACCTTCATCATTGAGTGCAAAATTTTTCCTTTTTTTTCTTGATTTTTATTGCAAAAAAATTTTTTTTCCTGCTATAAATTATTCGTGCAGAACTATTTCATATTCATGTGGTACATGAGGATGACTAGAAGCATGAATTTTAAACTACACATATCACTAGCCAAAAATAATGGAAACTCGAATTGCTTTAAAATCAAATCCAGAAACCATAATTACAAATCTGCTAGCTGATTTGTAATTATGATTTCTGGATTCAACATTGCTTTTATGCTGAAAATTGAGAGCCTGCTTCGCTAATAGCATAACTAGTCCTACAAATTGCCTGTTCGCTTCGATCGTAAACTGGTAATGCGTATGTCACGAGTCAAAAATGTAATCAGCTTGCTTTTGGACAATCATTCAAAGAGGTAAGTCATCAGCAAACATGCCATTTGGTAGCTGCTGACACGTGTTACCATTCGAACTAATTCCACTTGCCTCCTGTCCCTTCAACAGAGCGAGCACGAACATAATCGGATCCTGGACCTGGGGGAGGGAAAGAGGGGGCAGGCGAAGGGGAGGGAAGGGATTGGGGAGGGGAGGGAGAGTGGGGCTCCTCAGGGGTAGCAACGGAAGATGGGGCGAAGAGTCCCCTTCCACTCTGGAACTATGCAAAAGCTAGGAATGGAGTTGTAACAAAGTTACCTGGAGTCACTTTAGTTTAGGGTGCCTTTATACTTTAGTTTTTTTTTAGTTTTAGTTTTAGACCCCAGATTTTGCGGCACCAGTGCCTGTGCCGCTGGGATGAGGAAGGCGGGAGAGTGGGGAGAGGGGGGAAAGGACTCACTGCCCCCATCCCCTGGGTCCACCCTATAAGCACAGAGGTAGTTTGATGGTTTGAGTTGCAAGTTTAGAATATCTAAGTTTGGCAGAAAACCAAAATTCAGTGAATATTCCTGCTGCTTTTGGTTCTCGACCAAAGCAACTTCGCCCTTAATCATCGTGAGCTTATCCAACAATTAAAGCTAACTGACCGCTCTGGATAAACTTTAGAAAAAAATATAATTGGCCAACGCACGGGCTGCCCGTGCGATGATGCGTTTTTATGCGTTTTTGCTGCAGCCAGCAAAAACGCATATTGTCGAGAGGCTGTCTGTGTGTGTGTTCGCAATGCGAGTGC